TTGATAGCCAGGCCAAACATTGAACAGAAATGATCAATTGCTGATTTTAAAACTGAGACAGAGGTTATGTCTGCATGGCAAAGTAGGAGAAGATCATCTGCATATGACAGGTGTGTGATTTTAAGATCCTTGCATCTCCAGTGGTACTTAAAGGCATGTACCCTACCCATAAAATTATTGATGATGGATGAGAGTGTATCCATAGCTATGACAAAGAGGAAATGTGAGAGGGGATCACCTTGTCTCAACCTCTTTTCCCTTTGAAATAACCCTGAAACTTACCATTAAGAGCTACAGTAAATGAAGGAGAGGAAATGCATACATGTATAAGTGAAGTGAACTTCTGTGGGAAGTTGAGCAATGATAAACAGTTGATGATAAAATCTCATTTGACTGAATCAAAGGCTTTCCTCAAGTCAATCTTGATTGCACATCTGGTTGGGGAGCTGTCTTTGTGGTATCCTCTCATTAATTCATATGCCAAGAGAATTGGATCATTTATCTTCCTACCATGGATGAAGGTTGATTGTAAAGAATCAATGATAGATGGAAGGGTGGTTTGTAGCTTCTGTGCTAGGAGTTTGGCAATGCACTTGTAGATTGTGTTACAACAAGAAATTGGTCTATAATCATGCAGAGAGGTAGGGTTTTGGCATTTTGGGACTAGAGAAATATAAGTATTGTTAGCCTCAGCAAGAAGTTTCCCATTTCTAAAGAATTCTGAAATTGTATATGTAACTGATCTGCCAATAATACACCATACTTTTTGGAAAAACATGCCATTGTAGCCATCAGGGTCAGGGGCTTTGTTCTTTTTAAGATTCAACATGCTCTAGATGATGGGGGTCATCAATGTAGCTGTGTAGGTGCTGAGGGACCTGCTTTGAGAAAAAAGGAAGTAAGTCAGAGAGGTTATGGGTAGAAGGAGGTGAGCAACCCAACAAGTTTTGGAAATGAGAGACAACTTCAAGCTTGATGGATTCCATGTCCTTAATGACTTGACCAGACTCAGTAGTGAGTGAAATAATTTTCTTCATATTGTTCCCAGAATAGAGGGATTTGTGGAAGAAGGAGGAGTTGCAATCTCCCAACTTGAGCCAATTCATTCTTGATTTCTGTTTTAGCATGTCCTCTTGAATCTTTGCAAGCTTCAGAAACTCAGCAATAAGTGATCTTTCCAACTCTCTTAGGAACTCATCATTTGGAGAATTATCAAAGTCAAACTGGCAGGAATCTAATTCTGTCTTCACATAGTGTAGCTTGGAGTCAATTTCACAAAAATCCTTCTTGCAATTATTCCTAAGAACTGACTTTAATAACTTGAGCTTCTGGACCTCCCTTACATGTATATAACGAGTCAAAACAAAAACGTTATCTTGAGAAGAAGTCTTTGTATAAGCATTTCTCTTAGTCCTACCGACACACACACATTTTACCAACAAGATCAATTTAACTTGTTGAGAGGGGTTGCTAAATTTTAAAATAATAAGAAACATAAAGATTCATTTAATTTGGAGTTAAATTTGATGGAAAAAAAAAAAAAAAAAGGTCTATATTTTCACATATTATGGGTCTCAATCCCCCTCCCCTACCCTAGCTTAATTTTGCCATTATTTGATTAGTTTTAGAGTAATGATACTTGCACCGATTTGTTGCAGTGAATTACCTAACCTAATATTTCTGATTGGTTATTTATGCACAATACATATAAGTGGAGGGTTCACTCCTTTATTTATCTCATTTGTTGTAGTGAATTGCCAAACCTATTTCTTTTAATTAGTCTATTTATGCATAAATAAAGAAGTGGGGCCCCCACTTACATGTATTGTACATAAATAACTAATCAGAAATATTCGGTTAGGTAATTTAGTGCAACAAATCGGTGCAACTATCATTGCTCTTTTATGTTATCAAATTCAAGCAAGAGCATAAAAAATTGAGTGTTTCTTATCACAAAACTTTTTTCTCATAAAAAGTAGTTTCAGGTTCTTTTTCTAGTACCAAAAGTATTTATGGGTATAATTGATAAGTAATTTAGGAATTGAATTCGACAATTACCGAATTCAATTTTATGTAAAAGGGTGGTGAATTATGAGTCATTATTATTTTGTTGAGAGAGAAATCGCTGTTAGCATTTGATGATGGGTACTTATTCCACTTAGTTTATTATTATTTTATTTATAAATACTGTTTTTTGTTAATGTTTTAAAAATATAAGTCTTTTTAAAACTAATGAGATAATCTTTTATAACTTTTTTATTAATTAAATTTATAAAATAGTGAATTATGAAAAAAAAAATTATAGAATAGTAATTATATATGGGTGTACGTACTGGTGGTGATATTGGCCATTCTTGAAATAACTAAGATGCCCTCTTTTTTTCTGATTCAATTACGAAAGCCTTTCCTTTTGTTATGTGATTCTTTTCTTTCCTTCTCCTCCTATTGCTCATAGAAATAGTAAGTCAAAACAAATCATTAAATATCATTCTTTTAATTTATAAATTATTACCTTGTAAATTTACAAACCTTTAATTTGTATAGATTGAATGGTAGGTGATTGTTGATAGTGAATTAGATTGCAGTTGCATGAGAATGATGACAAATCGTATCAAGGATAAGATTTGTCATGGGGTAAGTTCAAATTTTATCAAGGATAAGATTTCTACGGGATAAACTCCATGGGCTAAGGACGATGAAATTCCCTTATCAAGAAAAGGGAAGTGACTATAAATACGAAGACGACTAGGGAATAAGGTACACACAAAAAGATCTCCTACTAGGAAAATTACGATAAAAAATTATTTCTCTCCTACTAACTTGATCGTCGGAGGGTCAACGGCCGGCACTACATCGGTGTTTGACTTTACCGTCTTAGTTTTGCAGGAAATGGTGTCGTACCAGGTCGTGGTGAATTTCAGCCTCAACAGTTGGCGCCGTCTGTGGGAACGACAATTCCCTTATATTAATACTTAGTTAGGTAGATACGTTTGCGATCCGGTATGGTCACCGAAAGAACATCGTTACAGGGATCTGGTCAAAGGGAAGAGTCGGGTGAAAACCTAGACATCCCAAATGACTAGGAGCGGCTTGCAGCGTTGGAACAATAGGTCCAAACTCTGAATCAGGGTATAGACCAGTTGATCCAGCAAAATGCAGCAATCCTGTAATACCTTGTTCCACCGGTTCAACAGGATTTGCCACGACAAGATCTCTCGAACCCGAATAGAGGTAATGGGAATCCTGAAAGGCAGGATAATCATCCTCCTCGACATGAGACCGAAGTGGAACAAAGCCAGGTAGGGAACTGACATAGAGAATTGATCCACCCATCTCTTCCACAGAGTTCCTGACCTCATGAAAACACAACTGTCATTGAAAAGACAGATGAGATTTCCCATGTTGACCCAGAGATACAAGATCTCAAGGCAAAGATGGAGGATGTGATGCAGGCCATAAATGGAAAAGGTATTACAGCCATAGATAGTTTAGTGCAGAAGACCAACTTGCCGTTCAGCCCCTCGGTTATGAAATGCCCCTTGCCGAACAAATTTAGAATGCCCTCAATTGAGAGTTTCGACGGAACTAAAGATCCCATCGACCACTTGGAGACTTTTCAAGCGTTAATGCATTTGCACGCGATGCCAGATGAGATCATGTGCAGGGCTTTCCCAACGATTCTCAAAGGATCAGCACGAGTGTGGTTTAACAAGCTGAAGCCAGGGACCATCGAAACCTTTGAAGAATTGAGTAAGCGTTTCATGGGCCACTTCATTGCTGGCCAGAAGCATAGAAGGCCGGTTACCTACCTTCTTACTGTAAAACAGCAGAAAGGAAAGTCACTGCGAGACTACATTGGTCGTTTCAATACGAAAATGTTGCAGGTGGAGGAAACGGATGACAAGGTGGCTTGAGCCGCCTTTATGAGAGGACTCCAAACCTTGAGATTTCTCTTCTTTTTATTAGAAGAACCCCCTACCAGCATGGCCGAGTTACTGGTTCGAGCTAAAAAACATATGAATGCTGAAGATGTAATGATGGCAAGAAAGGGGAAAGAATGGGATGATAATAAGGTAGACAAGAAAAGGCCGGCTCTGATAACCAAAGATGAAAAGGAAACCAAGTATAAGAAACCTATGATCAACCAGAATGAAAGGGCGTCTCGCTATAAGAGCGCAAAGAGATATACAAATTACACTCCTTTAAATATGCCAATAGATCAAGTTTTTCTGCAGATCCAGGATGAACCATATTTGAACTGGCCACCAAAATTGAAGTCAGACCCGGCGAGGAGACCTCGTGATAAATAGTGTAGGTTCCATAAAGACCATGGGCATGCCACAGAGGAATGCTTCGACCTCAAGGATCAGATTGAGACTTTGATCCGAAGGGGGCACATGCGAAAATTTATTGTGGGGAATGACAGAACTGACGTTAATCTACCAAGAGCAGGCCGAGATAACCGCCTCCCTGATCAACAACCAATGGGAGAAATCAGGGTCATAGCCGGGGGATGTGCAGGTGGTGGAGAATCAAGCTCAGCCCGTAAGGCCTATGCCAGGAGAATGCGAAACTCATCTGAAGTTTTCGAAGTTAGAATACAGAATCCACACCGAAAAATGCCACGTCTAGGTGATCCTGTTATCACATTCTCAGATGAAGATATTAAGGACGTGCAACAACCCCATGACGACCCTCTCGTTGTCACTATGATGATCGCTAATTATATTACTCGACGGATCTTGGTGGATAATGGAAGTTCGGCTGATATCATTTTCCTTGATGCATTCAGCAAAATGAATATTGGTAAGGAGAAACTCAAACCTACTAAATCACCATTGGTGGGATTCACGGGAGATAAGGTCTACCCTCTGGGAGCGGTCATTCCTCCTGTCACTGCAGGAACCAGCCCGAAACAAGTTACTGTTATGGTAGACTTCCTAGTGGTGGATTGCCCATCTGGTTAGAATGTTATCCTAGGAAGAACTACTTTAAACTCGATGAGGGCAATCACTTCGACTTATCACCTCTTAATGCGTTTCCCTACAGAGCAGGGCGTAGGCGAACTAAGAGGAGATCAAACCACTGGCAGAGAATGCTATGTTGCGTCTCTGAGAGAAAAGAAGCAGCAAGAGGCTTTGGTTGTCGAAGAAATTGAAGAACAGGAGCGAGATCGAGCCAAGTCAATTGAGGACCTGGTGGAGATATGCTTAAATGACAATGGCGTAACAAAAAAGGTGAAGATAGGGTATCTACTCCCCTTAGACTTTATGAATACTCTTGTACAGTTCCTCAGACAGAATCAAGATGTGTTCGCATGGTCACATGAAGACATGCCTAGTATTGATCCAGCTACGATCGAGCATCGATTAAACAAGGATCCCACAGTCAAACCTATCAGGCAAAAACGAAGAACATTTGCCGCGGAGAGGAACATGGCTATATCAGAAGAGGTGAACAAGCTTCTGAAAGCTGATTTCATCCAAGAGGTCAATTATCCTGACTGGTTGGCCAATGTTGTTTTGGTAAAAAAAAGGCCAATGGAAAATGGAGGTTGTGCGTAGACTTTACCGATTTAAATAAGGCGTGCCCCAAAGATAGCTTCCCTCTACCAAGAATCGACATGTTAGTAGAAGAAACGGCTGGCCATGAGTTGCTCAGTTTCATGGATGTATATTCGAGATATAACTAAATCTTAATGCATCCACCAGATAGAGAAAAGACCTCTTTTGTCACGGACAGAGGTTTGTATTGCTATAAGGTGATGCCTTTTAGGCATAAAAATGCTGGTGTAACATACCAGCGGCTAGTCAACTTGATGTTCAAGAATCAAATCGGAAGGAATATAGAGGTATATGTGGATGACATGCTGGTAAAAAGCTTGAAAGCTCAAGACCACCTAGCTGATCAATAGGAGACATTCCAAGTCCTCAGGAAACACCAAATGAAACTCAACCCAGACAAATGTGCATTTGGTGTCTCCTTAGGGAAATTCCTTAGTTACATGGTAAGTAGGAGAAGGATAGAGGCCAACCCCGAGAAAATCCAGGCAATTCTCAACATGCGGTCTCCAGCATCGACTAAGGAACTTCAAAGATTGATAAGAAGAATCGCCGCTCTGAATAGGTTGATTTCCAGGGCAACGGATAGATGCCTGCCTTTTTTTCGTATGCTCAAGAAAGCTTTTTCATGGACACTTGAGTGTGAGCAAGCTTTTACAGAACTGAAGGAGTATCTCACTTCACCACCGTTACTATCACGGGCAATGCAAGGAGAGCAATTGTATTTGTACTTGGCAGTTTCTCCATCGGCAGTAAGTTCAGCCTTAGTCCGCGAAGATGATGGAATCCAGAAGCCAGTATATTATACTAGCCGTGAATTCAGAGGGGCAGAAGAGAGGTACCCAAGGATAGAAAAGTTGGCCCTTGCCCTAGTTGTCTCTGCAAGGAAACTCAGGCCTTATTTTCAAGCACATACCATAATAGTATTGACAGACCAGCCACTTAGGCAAGTCCTCTGCAAACCTGATACTTCGGGGTGACTCATGAAGTGGTCAGTAGAACTTAGACAGTTTGATATCCAATACAAACCCAGAACAGCCTTAAAAGCTCAGGTACTGGCAGATGTTATAGTAGAATTCACACCAGAAGATAGGCACGAGCACGGCGTAGATGAACAAGAAGAAACTGAATCTACAAAGACACTGTATGTGGATGGATCGGTCAATGCTCGTGCAAGTGGGGTGGGACTAGTACTTGTTTCCTCAGAGGGGGAATGCATCAAATACGCCCTCAGGTTTGGGTTTAGAGCAACCAACAATGAGGCAGAATATGAAACCCTCCTGGCAGACCTCATGTGATACCCCTCGGATCCGAGACACGGGTTGATCAGGCCCAGGCCCAAACCCGAGGGAATATCAAACAATTAATATTTTATAATGAACACGGAATACAAAATAAATTAAGAAATGAAATTAAAGCTGGAAGGAACTAAAAATAGAATCCGCAAAATATTATAATTATTAAAATCCATCAAACCCAAACTCCAAAACTCCATCAGTTTACAACTTGGGAATCCATCTCTAGTGGACCCCTATTAAACATCCAAACGGAAGATAGAACAACTGTAATAAACGTCCAGAAATAAAACTATAGAGAGAGCCCTACATCGTTGGAAGAGTGAATAGAGACCTCTGCTCAGCACGAACACGTCTAAGCCTGGAACTATCGTGTACCTGAAAAAATAGAAGTGGGTCAGGCCCACGCGCAAGTTCTATACTACTACAATCCAAACAGAGGCCCGATACGCATGTACATCCTAAACAGTTCAACAATAGCTGATAGTCCGTAAATATATATATAGTCACACTAAAGGACTCTCACTGGACTACAGGCCGGTCTCAACCTGAATAGAGGTAACATGCTAAAACGCACACGAAGTGGGCATATGTACCTATACCTAAACAGGGTACACCTCCAACCATTGTAGCCAGCTACATACCTCGATGCATATACGCTCCCTAGCCATCGGTCCTGAGGCTCAAGCTCATACCGAGGCACCATAACAGTACATATATAAAATCCATCCAAAATCCCTGGTATTGCCGCTCAACAAGTAGTTGCCATGACAATACAAATCCACGGGACTTAACTTTTAGTTAATCCCATCCTTATTCCAAGTAGGTGGGTAATGGTATTGTTTTAAAAATCAAACCCATCCTTAGTATGCCACCGTCCCATACCGGTGCCTACTTTCCAATCCTCCAGTAGTCAATAATACCAATAAATCAAGTATATATCAACTAAATTCCAACATCCAACATTCAATGTTAGCAGTGATAAATTAAGCATTGATAAACAGGGTCACAACAACAACATATACATGCCCAATTTAAGTTGTTCCCTTTAGTCTGATATAAAGACAGAATTAATTAAAACTTCCATTTAACACCTTACAAATGACATACAGATATGTAGGGTGTGTATCACAAAATCCTAACCTCCACAGTTGATACTAACTGTGATAATGTAAGCATCAAAACAATATTCACAGTATGTATGTAGACATGCTCAAATTATAGTGTTCCACAAAACCGATCTAGTGTTAAACTCAAATCCTCCTAGTATTTAAGTTCCAATAGTTGCTATTACAGAAGTTAAGATAGCTATCATCTAGACCCATCCTTCCAATAATTTATACTAGCAGTGGTAAGGAAAAACGTGAACCACAGAACCATAATGCATCCACAAACATGCTTAGTCTAGGTTGAACAAGCATACAACACTACTGTAACTACCAGTTTCATAGCAAAACAGATATCATTTTAGTTTGGTTTAATCTTCATTAATCCTGGAATCATTTAAGAGTGCAAAGAGTATGAAGCCTAAGGGAAAGAGTAAGGATAGAATCTTGCCTCAGAAACTTTTGTTCAAAGTTTCAACGTCGTCTTCTTAAAAAAATCCCGGCGAGTTCCAAAACCCGGTTACTGTTCACGGGTACGAAACACTATTCCCGAACTTAAAATCTGATCTCCACCGTTCATATTATGCGACACTAAGTCATGAACCTATCCTCCAAATTTCAGCTCGATCGGACCACGGACGAAGCGGGATCAGATGTTTGATGAAATCTGGGCAGAATGGAAAAAAAACTGTGCGACCCAGTTACTGTTCATGAGTACGAATCACTGTTCCCGAGGTCAAACTCTGATCTCCACCGTTCAGATTGTGCATCACTGAGTCATGAACCACTCCTCCAAAATTCAGCTCGATCGGACCACGGACGAAGCGGGATCGGATGATTGATGAAATCTGGGCAGAATGGAAAAAACCTGTGTTTTTCCTTCTCCACTTCCACAAAACGTGTGCTTTGTTTAAAAAAACCCTACACAGACGTCTACCTTATACTTATAGAGTTTTCCTAAACCCTAGGTTCATTTAAGTCCAACTCACAATCCTAACCGGCCCATCCAATTAACGTAGAAACCTACGACGGCTATAATATAAAACCCTAATTTATACTGTAATTAAAACCCTAGTTAGATGTATTTATCTAATTACTCTATTCACCATTAAATACTCAACAAATAATCTAATTGAACAAAATAATAATTAGTAAACCCAATTAAACCAAATAAGACACACATAAAATAAGACACACATAGAATAATTAAACCAATTACACTTAAACCATTAATGCCAATTAAATAATTAAAACACTAACAAGTAATTCCAATCAAATAACTAAACCAATTACACTTAAACCATTAATGCCAATTAAATAATTAAAACACTAACAAGCAATTCCAATCAAATAACTAAAAATAAATATCATTTAAATAAATTAAATCACCACAAAAGAAAATAATTAAGTACCTAATAAAAAAAAATAATGACACATAATCAAATAAAATGCACTTAAATAATAAATTAAATACCATTAAATACCAGGAATATCCTTTTTAAAATTAGGGGTATTACACCTCAGGATGGTTAAAGCCCTAGAAGTTGAGCGACTAATAGCGTCTACTGATTCTTAACTAATAACTGGACAACTCCAGAGGGAATATGAAGCAAAGGATGAGAAGATGAAGACCTATCTGCATAAGATAGAAGATATCAAAGGCTTCTTTAAGAAGTTTTTCATTCATCAGATTCCCCGAGAAGATAATGGTCAAGCAGACGCCTTAGCCTGACTAGCAACTGCAGCAGAGGAGGATAAAACTATACCTGTGGAACATTTGGATGAGCCTAGCATAGTTTGTGATTGGCCACAGAAAATACACCAGGTGATCCAAGATATGGAATGGGCAGAACCCATTATCAGGTACATAGAGAACGAAGAGGTACCCCAGGATCGCATGGAAGCACGAAAGATCAGGATGCGTGCGGCAAAATATTGCCTCATTGAAGGGGTTCTTTACAAAAAGGGATTTTCTCTACCCTACTTGCGTTGTGTCTCCATAGATGAGGCGAATTACATTCTAAAGGATATACATGAAGGCCTATGTGGAAACCATGTTGGGGGCAGATCACTAGCGCATAAAACTATCCGACAAGGATACTTTTGGCCTACTAAGAGGAAAGATGCGCTTGAGTTTGTGAAGGAATGTGACAAGTGCCAGAGATTCGCCAATGTCCCAAAATGACCAGCAGAAGAGTTAACCCCTCTTACAGGGCCGTGGCCTTTTGCCCAATGGGGGACGGACCTCATCGACCTCTTACCCCAAGGGAAGGGACAAACTAAATACGCAATTGTGGCAATCGATTATTTCACCAAATGGGTGGAGGCTGAGCCGTTAGCTTATATTGGAGCGAATGAAGTAAATTTTTTTTTTTTTCTGGAAGACAATAATCTGCAAGTTCGGAGCACCAAGGGTAATTGTGACCGATAATGGGAATTAGTTTGAAAGTGAGTAATTCCTTGATTTTTGTAATGAACTTTGGGTCAGAGTTCATTTCTCTTCTCCTGCCCATCCCCAAGCCAATGGGCAAGTTGAGGTCACGAATAGGACAATACTAAAGATCATCAAGACACGCCTAGAAAAGGCCAAGGGCTTGTGGCCTGAACAACTACCCGGAGTTTTATGGGCCTATCGCACTACCGTAAGAACCCCCACTGGGGAGACCCCTTTTGGGTTATCTTTTGGAAGTGAAGCTGTGATCCCGGTAGAAACAAAGGTTGCTACCTTCAGAACCAAGTATTTCGAACCTCAACAGAACGAGATGGAACTACGGTTAAACTTGGACTTGATAGAAGAAAAAAGAGAGCAGACCCAAATTAAGGTTGCAGCTTACCAACGGATGGTATCCAAGTACTACAACGCCCGGGTCAAGCTAAGGAGGTTCGAGCCAGGGGACCTGGTGCTTCGCGAGGTTACCCCGGTTACTATGGTGAAGGGGGAAGGAAAGTTAG